TATCAGGCTACGGCGACGTCGGCACCAGTTCCACCGATAACATCATCATCAGCAATGACAAGCACTTCGACATTGACGTATGACGATAAAAAGCAATCTTCATCTTATCATGCCGTACCACCACCGGATTCTTATGATAATGAGGTTGGTAAATTATAAAATTGCAAACTTAATTTTTGTATTTATTTCTTTTTGTTTGCTCTTTTTTTTTTTTTTTTCCTCTTTCTATTTTAATTTTTTTGGGATAGTAATGTATGATAAAGAAAATTAATAATATTTCTAAAAGAATCGAAGGGGGATTTGGGATTTCGCGTGAGAAACGGTGCGCAGATGCGCACGCTACTTACATTGCAAGTTTTTTTCTTCTTCTTTTAGAGGTGAAATTAACCGATTAAGCAGGGGCTTGTTTTTGTTTTCTTATTTATTTTTATACGAAAAGAAGGAAACTAGACAGGACTCCAACCCTTGGCTACAGAATAATCGTATAATTTTTTTTTTTATGTTAACGAAACGATACGCTATTAAACTAAACAAAATCGATTAAGTTTATTCTAGAATTCATGAAAATATGGACAAGACCCAAAAACGATTCGCGTAATGTTTACTGTTAATATTGTCTGTCTGTCTGTCTTAGTTATATTTCCTTTCAAACGTATATATTTCCATGATCCTCAGGCTAGTTTATTTTTATTGTTCTTTTTTTATTATTGTATCTACGAATTATTTATTAATAATTAAAATAATAAGAATAAATGAGGTCACAAAATTATATTAGAACATCATTTTTATTTATATTTTTTGAAAAAAATTTTGTTTTATTTATGATATGATTTAATATGGATGATATAAATTTAAATTTATTAAAAATAAAACTTACTTATTTTTTCATTTTAATTATAGCTATCGCTTTTTTGAATAATAAGGAAAAATATATCATGCGAATTACAACATTTGAATTACTCAGTATATCATCGGTATATCATTTTAAATAACCTTTTTTTTTTTATAATTATTAATTTATTCGAATTAGTTTACTGGGTATTAATAAAATTTTTTTTTTCTTTTCCTTTACGCACAAATTAATTATATAATACAGTTTGAAGCTTAAACTGTAATTATTCATTTGTTTAAGAAATTCTAGGAATTAAATTAATTTAATTCAAAAGTCTGAAAGAAATAGAATATTAAAGCAATCAATGTTACAATTAAAATTAAAATAAGTTGAAGTCCTATAAATAATAAAAAAAAAGTCGAATGTTATAAGTATATGGATCAAAAATAAGAATAAGAATTAATTAACGAAAGTAATAATATAATTACCGGTATTAAATTTTTCTGGTAATTGTATAATATGAACGGAATTATCAGCGGATCCGCTTACAACTAAAGTTGAGTCATGGTTGAACGCGATAGTAGTGGGTGGGAATCCATGCACATTAGGCACTATAAGAAGAACCTTCAGCGTTTGGGAATCGCAGATTCCAATACTATGATCGGACGCTCCATATCCCAATAATTTCCCATTATCACTTGTTTTAATAAATAAATAAATAATTAATTTAATTAATTCATCATAGAAATGAAAAGTTTTTTGAGGAAATTACCTGATTGTAAACGTAGTGATTCGTCTTTTACCAATAACTTTTGTTGAGCACCTTTCAAACGTTGTAGCATTCCATTTAACAAGAAATGTCTTAGATATCGAGGCCATATTGACCACAGTATAAAAAAATCCAGCAGATGTCCCTTTACCAAATCGGCATGCCCTAAATTGACATTGAGAAGATTTTTTGAAAATGGGATTCTCTATTGAATGAATACATTCACCATCTTTTGTTGAAAGAATTCTCAAGGTTTTCACGGAAACAACCAAAAGCTATTATTATTATTATTATGAATGTTTATTTATTTTTTTATTTTTTTAGCATTACGTATAGAAAACAAAACATTTTTACGAAATTATCAAACGATTCTATCTTGCCTGATTTCCGGTTGAATCGAAATCCAAATCGTATATTTCCTGTTTGCTAAAATTTACAGGGGGAAAGGCCACGTCTAATGAAGGATATTTCAGAACGGTCAACTTACTATCTGTACCACCGGTAGCCAATAATTTGCCATCTTGAGTAAAAGCGGCAACTTTCTAAATGATTTATCAATAATTGTTTGTTCAATGATTTTTGATGAGATATATTTGATCAAATTTACCTGATAATCGTCCTCATTAGTACTTGTTATTGTTTGAGCTGTCTTAACTAACTTTATTCTAAATATACATATATATTTAACTTTATTTATTTATAAAATAAACAAATCAGGTCTTGAAGCCGGTAAAAATTTTATATCGTCACATACTTTTCATTTGAATATTCAAAAATTCGACAATTCTTATTAAATCCTTGTAATATCTGTTCTGCGGTACTATTGATACCACAAGTGAATATATTTTCCTATCCAAAGATTGTACGAATTCAATTAAATAAAATTCAAAACGCGATCCGTTGTGATCGATGATAAAAAATTTTTATACATTTTTTTACCTCATTATGCATAGCGATACAAGTTGGCCTGTCTTCTTCTTTATCTAATATCACTTCGACAACCTGTTCAAGAGTTCTCTCTGATAACTTACATTTGAGCAAAACCTAAATAGAAAAAATGTACTCAAAAATATGTATATATTGAACAACCAAATCTCAGCATTTGAATCGACCTTTTTTAACATACCAACTTATTAGTTACACCGGTATTACCAGGTCCTCCACCTCCACCGAGCAGGACTTCTCCCGAAGGAGTAAATCCTAACAAATGCGCGTACATAAGTATAACGACATCAAGCCTAGACTAAGGACAATTTTTAAAAGGAATAGGTACCTGAACAGTATACAGGGAAGTCAACTTTTATTGAAAATTTTTCAAGTGTTCTAGACATTAAATTCACCAAAGTTTAAAAATAAAAAAATGAAGCTACGAGTTAATGCAGCGACAAATCTTTAATGCATCCGATGGTCACGTGAATTATCGAATTGTTTTGATTAAAATTATCTTGATAAATTTTTATTAAAAATCAGCAAAGCTCTAAGGAATATTACTTTAAAAAAAAAAAAATCCTTCATTTGAGTACATAAATATAATGAATGATTTTTATTTACGCGTTTTTCTTAAACCTCTTTAACTATTGTATTACGTTCACTGACATAGATACCGTCCAAAAATTTTCGAATATCTTTATTCTTAACTGCGGTAGATTGTTGGATGTTGGCAGCTAAAAAATATTTAATTAAAATTAAAAAAAAAAAGAAAAAAAAAATTTTTATTTTAATAAAGATTTAACCTGAAATTTTAAAATACCTGATTGGGAGACATTTTCCAAATCATTTCCAGACAAGATCAATTCATCCTTTTGATTATCGGAAATTTTAATTTCAACACCTGGCAACATTTTTACACGTCTAATAACTTTTTCACCTAAAAAGTTACGAATTTCAACCTCATTTCCAGTGTCAGAAATATGAACGTTAATGGGGAAATGGGCGTAAACATAACGCATCTTGTATTCAAACCCCTAAATCATGAAAATGTTTTAATATGTTCTGTTTGTTAAAGAGTTTGATACTTTTACATTGACAAACCTTAGTAACACCGGTAATCATATTCTCAATATGAGCTTTCACTGTACGTAAGCAAGCAACGTGTTTACGAGTTCCATGCCACACAACGAGTTTAATCTTATGAGTCCCGATCTTTTGTATCTCTAAGTCGATGTGACGAATACTCTTGGTCAAAGTTCCTCGAGGCCCTTTAACTGTGATACAACGGGCTTTAACTTTTATTTCTTCTACTTCCTTGGGTATGGTAAACTCTTCGACTTTAATGATATCCCTCATTTTAATTCTTATATTTCCTGTAAAAAAAAAAAAGAAGAGAAAAAAGAAAAGAAAAGAAATAAGTTGTCAACAACACTATTCCCAACTTTATAAGAAATTATAATCTGATCAAATTAATTTTTTTTTTTTTTTCACATTATCAAGGAAAATCAAACTTCAGCATTATAAAAAATTTTTTTTTTTTTTCTTGTATTCTTTCTTTTTTTTTTTCGTCTTGAAGTAATCCGAATTCTAATTCACTATAATTGACCCAATTATTAAACTAACCAAACGCAAGCCGACACTACGTGAACGGATGCCAATAATGTTGGATGAAAAAGGAAGAACATCTAAAAAATCAATTTTTACGTATTTATAATGATAATCACATGTGCCGCAGTATCAAGGCACAATAGTGTGACGAAATGAATTTCATATAACATACATATTTTTTATTTTATTATATATTTTTTAAAAAATGTCTTTTTCCTTTATAAGAACTTCTTGTGCGGCAAGAAGGCTACATTGGCAACTTGGGAAAGTTCAATTAAGGAGAGCAAGTAGTCATGACCCACAGTATAATGAGCCTGGTGGCTATCTGTTTGGTGAAAAAGTGAGTACTGAGTTTTTCTCTTTGTTTAAAACTGCGAATTTTTAATAATGCTTTATATGTTTTATTCGCTAGCCTTTACCAGCGGGACAAAAACGCGTAAAAGATTATTGGGAGAATATATGGATTTATGGTATGGGTGGAAGTCTTCTCATGGGAACCATTATCGCTATTTATAAACCTGATACAAGGCAAGATACGCTCAAAAAATTGCTTCGATTTAAATATACAATTATTGTTTTTTAATTTTATGAATTGCATGTTATATAGTATACAAACGTGGGCTACAAGAGAAGCTAAAAAACGTTTAGAAGATCGTGGTGAGGATTTTGCGTATCCAATGACCGAAAAACAAAATGAATAATAAATTTGGTTTTCAAAGTTAACTAGACATTTATCACGTCACCCCCTCATAAAATCTCTGTTTTTATTTAATTCTCAATTCTCAGTTTACATAAACTGAACTTTTTTAAAAAATGCAAATCAAAAAAAAAAAAAGAATGTATTTATAAAACTCAAATTTATCAAGAGATTTTGGCGTTAGACAAGTCAAGTTCGGGATGTTGGGCTTGAAATTTCTTCAATATCTCATCTTTTTTCAGTTCTTCTGATGTTTTTTTACCCATTTTCTTTTGACGTTGATCAAACTAGAGTAAAGGAAAAAAAAAAAAAATTATATATTATTTGAATTATAAATGAAAGGTTAAATTTACGATTAAGGTGTACCATCATCTTTTCCACCATTGCGCGAGTTTCACCATCCAGATCGCTCAAATTTGAATTTTCAGGTTGAATTTTAGTTGTGTCAATCTCAGGATGGGTGGTAATAACATTCTTCCACCATTCCATTTGATTACTCTTTTCTATGTGAATGAAAATTTCTTTTTGATCCTCTATATTTAAAGAAATTGAATCAATTTACGATATATATAAAATAAATATTTGTAAAACAAATTGATAAATACTTACCGAGTGTCCAGGTACAATCATCAATTTTAACTTCTTTACACAATTCGCCCTACAAAATCCCATATTATCATTTACTAGTTTTATCATAAATAATAATAAATATTAGTCTCAATAATCAATCATACCTCAATAATGGGTGTTTGACCTTTCAATCCAACAATTAAATGCTTTTTTTTAATATCAACTTTCAAATCCTTTGCACGTGTTCCTTTTGGAACAGGAACAGTTATATCAACGTCCTGTAAAGTTTGTTTCCATTTATAAGGTAAAGCTAAATTTTTTTAAATCTTTTAGCAAATGAAATTCTGAATTTTTGCCCAGTAAAATTTTTAACCGAGAGAAAGTACCGGCTTGTTCCGCTTCTTCTTTTTCTTTTGCCTTTCTATCATGTTCAGCTTGTTCTTCAGATGTCATATTATCATCTCCTTCAATGTCTGCCATTTTTGCTTAGTATGTAAATTATTAAACTGTGAAAAAAAAATTAAAAATTTTCCGCAACTATGTACAGTATATCACGTGATACTTATTTAAAAAGTGTTTCAAAAGTTCCAAAAAAAAAATAAATTTTTACTTAATATATAATTGTTTTAGTAAAATAAGTTCGGGATTTAAATATTAACAGTTGATTCAAAAAAGTTTTTGGAAGTTTTTCACTTTTTTACTATAAAATCATAATATAAAGTATAATAATATATTCTTATATAATAAAAATCTTAATAAAGTATAGTTATTAATAGGTAATATGTTATTTTTAACTGATTTCTTATTTTGAATTTGCAAAATTGTCTAAACTTTAATTTCGCTATTTTTTTTTTTACATTTTTATAAACTTTGATATAGTTTTATCTTTTTCTAAGTTTTGTAGATTTTTTAATGTTTTAATATAACTTTGCTAAATTTTATCTTTTACCATTTAAACAACTTGCAAAACATTTAGGTTTTTTAGCAACCTCATTTATGATATATATAGATATTAGGATAATGTATGTATAATATATTTTGTTACTATATATAAATTGATAACTAAAAATATTTATATATTTTTAGCACGAATTGACGAATTACTAATTAATTGTATTTTAACAGATGTAATTATTTTATAATAAATATTAAATTGACGTAATTAATTGTTACATCATCAAAATTAATTAGAATTAAAGTATAATATTTTATATTTTATTAATATATTCTGAGAATATAATTCTAAATTAGTCCATTTCTTAAATTTTTACTCTTAATTTTTTAGATAAAAACATAGCAGTAAAGTGTAAATAAATTAAAATATAATAATATATTAAGCATAATAAAGTATTATTTAATTTTTTACATTTAGTCTTTATTTTTTAAACCATTTTTATGATATCTAAAAAAAACCAATAAAAATAAAATTATTAGAATTATATAATTAAAGATGCAAATTTATACTTTCTTAATTAAAGATGACGCTGCAACTAGTTGCAACTATATAATACTTATTTGTCATTATTGCAAGTAGTTGTAACTTAATTTTTGTTAATTTCACAACTAATTACAACCTTTTGATGCTTATTTATAACTAGTTATAACTAGTTGTAGCTCTATCATTATTTTTAATATAAAGTAAAATGCAAAAAATAGTGATCTTTAACTTTAAGTCAAAAGTTATAATATTATATTAAAAATAAAAATTAATAAATAAATTATATATCTTATAAAATTTAAAAAATGTATATAATTTTAACATTTAGTATCACTTCATTATTTCAGATTTTATAATTAATATTTTTACTATTATTTTTTTTAAATAGATAAATAAAGAATCAATTCTATACAAAGTTACTTTTCTAATATATAATATGACTTTTATTGAATCTATAGATAAGGGATAAAATCCTTTAATAATAATCAAAACTTAGACAAAACTATATTAAAATTATAATAAGAGATATGATAAAATCCTTTTGATATAATAAAAGCTAAAATTGTCAAAACTATATTAGAAACATAAAAAAGAATATGATAAAATTATTTTAAGAAAATTTCAGCAAGCATCTATAATTGAATCAGATTAAAACGTTTTCTTTAAGTAGTTAGGTAATATATTATAAATATAATCTTCTGCAACTTAATTAATTCTATATGATTATTTAAAAATTTTAGCTTTTTGATTAGATGATTTTCTTCTTAAATAATAAATTCTCAATTTCTAAAAAAAATGTAATGATAACTTTATTTTTTTTTTAAGTTTTTTTCATTCTTCTTTTTTTTTAATATTTTCTTTTCTTTATTTTACTAAACACTTATATATATTTTATATATTATCTTAATAATTTTCTCAATTAGATTATTAGACTTATTCCTAATATTTATTATAAATATTTTATTACCTTTTTAATTATAAAAAGTTTAATTTGTGATATTAAAATTTATAAAAGCTGAACTTTTATTTTCTATATTGATTAATAAATTTAAATCTTTTAATAGATTTTTTTTATCTTATTCTTTTATTATTATATTATAATATTTAATATAGTTTTTTTAAAATTGATAAAAATATAATTAAAATCCATATATTTTAAATCTAATTTAATTTCTTTTAAAAATTTCTGTATATTTTTTTCTGTTATATTATCTTATTTTTATTTAAATATATAATTAAAATAAATATTATTGGAAATTGTTATCTATTTTTTTAACAAATCAATCTGTTTTTTTGATATGCTTTTACTTAGTGTAAAGATTTTAATTTAATGATATTATCTTCTATTTTAAAGTATTTTAAGATTTTTAAATATTTTCTTAGAAGTTTTTTAGATATTCCTATTAAATTAAATTTTGAATTTATTGATACTTTTATTTTTCAATTATTAAAGTTATTATAATTTTTTAGGTTTCTTTAACTTATTTAATAATTTCTCAAATATTTCTTATATTAAAGATAATATTATATCTATATATTCTTCTTCTTTTAAAGAATATATTATTTAAAAATACTAAAATTTCTCAAATTCTTTTTAGTTAATTCTTTACTAGATAATATCTATTAGAGTTCCGAATGAGTCAAGTCGAGTCGAGTTTAAGGATCAACTTGATTCAACTCGTTTTTTTCGAGTCGAGTCGAGTCGAGTCAAATTTATTTTATAAAATTTTTCAACTCAACTTGATTCAAGTTATATAAATTTTAAACTCGACTCAATTTGACTCAACTTGAGTTTAACTTGACTTGATTTTGACTTGAATTTATTTGAGTAGAGTCAAATTCAAATCAAGTTTCGAGTCAAATTTAAATTAACTTATAAATATTAAATATAAAAAATTTATTTTAAAT